TGGGCAGCGCCGGCGCGCGCGGCGGCGGCGGCGGCGGAGGGCGCGTGGCGGGCGCCGAGCCCCAGGAGCGGGTCCCCGGCGAGGCCGCGCGCGGCGTGTCTGGTGTCCGAGCGCCGCCTGGTGACCGCGCGCGGGATGGCAGGGCGAGCGGCGCGGGCCTGCGCGGCGGACGCGGCTTTGGGCTCCAGTTTGGGGCGCCCCAGCGGGGTGTCGAGCGGCCGCCGGCGGCCCGGCAGCTCCTTCGAGGTGCCCGCGGACGTCTTCGTGGATGCCATGGCCGTGGGACGCCGGGAGGCTCAGCTCATCTTGTCCAGCGCTTTTTTTCTTTAACCGCGGAGTAGGCCGCGGGCGGAGGGCACGGTGGGCCCCGCCCCCGGTGAGCTGGCTCTGCGCCTCCGGCCCACCCTGCCCCCTCCGGGGAGCCCGCCCTGAATGCTGATGATGCGCCAACTTTATGCCCTCACGTGGACTCCTCCCACTTGAGTCGTGTGCTGCCCGCAGCCCTCCCCCCGCCCCCCCGGACGCTGAGCCCCCGCCGCCGGCCAGACGCGGTGCCGGCGGGGAACAGCGCGGGCAGAGGGGGGCCAGGCCTCTGCCCTAATTCTGCTCGGTCCGGCGGGGAGGAGGCCGCTGGCCGCAGAGAGGAAACCGCTCTGCTGCTAGAGGCAAGGGGCGGCGGTCGGGGGAGGCTTCCCCCGGGAAATGCACTGCAGTGGGGGCGCCCTGGGGATCCGGGAGGATGGACTCTGGCGCTGGCACCGGGGTTGGGTGTTGGGGAAGCAGCAGGACACACGTGCAAAGGCCCTGCGGGGCCAGCCAGAGTTGGGGCCGTGGACTTCCCAGGCCAGCGGTTGCAGAGAGGCCAGGCGGTCGGGTCTTACAGGGGCTGGTGAGCTGGGGATGGGGGTGGGTGGGTGATTCGGGGAGCGTGCTGGGTCAGGGCAGTGACTTCACTCTGGAACTTTCCATGGGGCTGCCCCATAGGGAACAGGCTGGAAAGAGACAAGAGCACTAGGATGGTTGGTTCCCAGGCCCTGCAGGCCCAGGGAGATGTGGGGATCTGCACCCCGGGAAGGGGGTGTGTGGAGGAGGAGGAGGAGGCCATGAGCACTTCAGTCAACGGTGATTGGTAGAGTCGAGTCGGGCTTATCTTGGATTTGGTGGGGGCGGGGCTTTTCTGCGGAGAGGGGCATGGGGAGAGTTCACAGTTGAGGTTCCAGGAGCTCCTTTCTGAACTCGTTGACCCAAGGGGTCTTTTTGTTTGATTGGGGGAGCACACCCAGAGGTGCTCAAGGGGAGCTTCCAGCTTGAGTCACTCCTGGCAGTGTTCGGGGGCCAGGCAGTGCTGGGGACCAAACTGCACCCCATGAGAGCAATCTCTCTGGTCCCTGGGGGCCCCTGAAACATGCCTGTAGAGTTGACAAGGTTCTCGCATGCAGAAAAGCGTTTGGGAGGGTGAATGCGGGGCGGTCAGTTGTGGGGTCAGTGTGGACAAGCCAGAGACCGTTCAGGGAGATGCTGAGAGGGGAGAGAAGGGCTCTCGGACTGTAGCCTGGGGAGAAGTGCCCCCAGTAGACAGAATCAAGGTCAAGGTCAGAGGTCTTCTCTTCCCTTGGCTGCACAGGGGTTCCCCAGGCACTCTGTGCTGACACCGCTTTCAGGAAGCTTTCCATGAACTCCCTGAAGCAGGCCCAAGGGTCCAGCGAGGCCAAGGGCTGGGTGTCAAGGGTGTCACAGGATAGAGGGGTATCAGGAGGAAGGCCCATGTGATCACACACTAGAGATGTCAGTGAGGGGAGGAGGCAGATGTCCACACCTTTGGCAATATGGTGGCCATAAGCAGCTCGATGAAGTGAGGCTGCTGACAGGAGCTGGTGTGGTGGGCAGAGAAGGGAAGGGAAAGCTGGGGACACTGACAAGAAGAGGTGCTGGGGGAGGGGATGGGGGATGTGGATTTTAGATGGATGAGGCTTGTTGTCACAGTTATCAAGGGGCAGGATCTGGTTCAAGAAAGCATCTGATGGCTGTTGAGAATAAAGTGAGCAGGGTATACTTGCCTTGAATACAGCTGACCTGGGTTTGATTCCCCTGGACCCCAGATGGTCCCCAAGCTACCCCAGCAGTGATCCTCCGAAGAGCCAGGAGTAAGCCCTGAGCACCGCTGGGTGTGACCCCCACCCCCAAGATAATGAAAGAAAGAAAGAAAGAAAGAAAGAAAGAAAGAAAGAAAGGAAGGAAGGAAGAAAGGAAGGAAAGAAAGAGAGAAAGAGAGAAAGGAAAGAAAGAAAATTGCGGGCCACTTCTGCAGCCAGGAGACATCATATGTTACTCTTAACCAGCAATAGAAAACTACTTGTCTACTTGTTGCCTTTTCAGCAGATCTGAGTGTTGGGGTAAAATTCCAAATAATAATGGTGGGTCTGGTGTCAAAATATTGAATGTGATCATCATAGAGAGAGAGTAATGTGGAAATCATCTGCCCCACAGGGGCATAATTTTAATTTTATAAAATTATAAAAAATGAAAAAAAATGTAAGTTGGGGTTCATACCCAATTCAGTCAGCTAATCAGTGGCTGAATAAATAGCAGTACTCTTACATAGAAAGAAAGAAAGAAAGAGAGAAAGAAAGAAAGAAGCGGACGGGGAGAGGCTCTCTGGGAAGGTGTGGTTAGGGCCGTGGGAGGCTGGTGGGCTTGCCCGGAAGGCCTGAGGTTCATCAGAGAACAGGGCACCTGCATAAAATTGGAGCAAACTGGGGCGATGAGAAGTCCTAACATGTGGGTCAGGGTGGCTGAGAGGTCCAAGGGATGGACCTTGGACCTACAGGGTGCCCTTGTAGATAATGGGGTCATGTGGAATTGAACAGGATGAGGTGGGGGCAGAATGATACACTGAGCCACTGTCCCTGGAGGGGACAGACCCACAGGGGTGGGAGGAGGGGCTCTGCAGCCCAGGAGGGGGTGTCCCACCAGAGGAGGTCGTGCAGAAGTAGCTGTGTGGGGAGCCAGGCTCCAACTTCTGCTTAACCGGAAGCCGAATGGCAGCCTCCACAGTCCTCAGGGAAGATGTTCCCCAGGAAGCTCTTGAGAAGAGTCCAGATAGAGAAGGGACGCCAGGAGATGCCTGTGTCTATGGAGCAAAGGACAGGTGGGGAGGGCTGATCCCCCTCAGTCCCCCAAGTCAGAAGTAGCCCTCATGGCTGTGCCCCCAAAAACAACCAAATAGGATGGATGGGGGCTGACCTCTAGGCCAAAGCAGGAGTCAGAGGGGTCCCTGACCACACCATAAGGTTAGTCTCTGACGAGGGGGGCCTGGCCACATGGACACAGGTCGAGAGGCACAAAGCACCCTCATCAGGAACCTTATTCCCACCTGCCAAGAGAGGAAACAGAGGCCGAGCCACAGAGAGGTGAAGTGATTTACTCAAGGTCAGGAAGCATAACCACTCATTAGTAAGTGATTAGTATGATTAAGTGCAAGCCGGGACCACAGCTCCGAGCCAGTGGTCTCCTATTTGTCCAGCCCAGCCACGGAGGAGCCCCCTGCCAGGAAGATAAAGCAGCTTTCAGGTCCCTGGCCCCCCACCTGGGGAGACTGGAAGGTCACAGTCCCCCAGCAAGACCAGAGCCTGAGACTGGAGGCACATTTGGTGGGAGAACACTCAACACGGGGGCCCCCAGGGTAAGGCACCCAGCCTTACCTCTCCCATCGAGCAAACTCCCATATGAGCCTCCAGAGCGATGAGGCTTTTCCAGGAGTGCGGTTGAGTGAGATGGAATTGCTGGCCAGTTCCGGGGAGAGGAAGGGGGGAGGGGGAGATTTAAAGTCATTGAGTAAAGCAAAGTTGGGGGTGGGGGTTGTGGGGGCCCCAAAACTGCACTCCAGTAGCAGGCTTGCGGACCCTGCCTGATTCTGAGCTCCCCGAAGCTGGGGTACAGGAATTCCTGGGCCCCTCCCAGACCAGACCAACACTTTATTCACAGCAATCAGTCAATATTTGCGAATGAAATTGGGGAACTGAGCGCTGCACAGCCAGACACCGGAGAGCTCCAGCCCCACCTCGCTGTGACTTGGAACAAACCACTTACGGGCTCTGAGACGCTTTCCTGCCCATAAACCGGCCCCTGAGCCAAGGGTCTTGCGGTTGAGCTCTGCTGTCTCCTTGGAAGTCGTCACCCAGTTTTGAACAAGAGGCCTCGCCTTTTCATTCTGCAACGGGGCCCCCTAAATAATGCCACCCGTGCTGGGTGGGAGTAATATTTTGTGCCTCGGAGGGCTGTTGCAAGGATTAAATGAAGCAATCTGTTTGAAGTGTTTTGCAGTAAAGGAGTGCGCAAGAAAGAGGAACAATTGTCTATTGTTCCTTACTCTGAGCTCATCCTCAGGACCATGTACAATGAATGAATGAATGAATGAATGAAATGATCCAAGGAGTGAGAGCCTGGGCCAAGGATCTGGAAGAGAAGGGGCTTGGCAAAATACGGGAACAATCGATTTGGGGACCCCACACGATGGATCGGTCCTTTCAGTGGCCACGGAGGTGGGGGGGTGGGGGGTTTGCACTGCGGTCCACACAGGTCGCCACGCCCCGCAAACAGTCTGAGCTGAGGACAGGGGTTCCAGTCTTTATTACGGGGGTGTACTCTCTCCCAACCAGTTCTGAGTGCCCAGCTCCAGCAGACAGGAGGGATTGACCATACAACGCCCAGGGTCTGAGCCAGCTGCAGGGCGGGGCTTCGTGTATCCCTGGTTCTAGGGGCGTGTCCTGGAGTGAGGTCCCGCCCCCTGAGGTCCTGCCCCGCCCCTTGGGGCGTGGCCCGGCGGCGGATCGCGCTCCGGGGCGGAGTCTCCTGCATCTCGACTTCCGGGGGCGTGTCCTGAGTGAGTCCCCGCCTCCTGGACGAACGCTCGGCCTCCCTCGTAGGCGTGGCCCAGCGGCGAGGCGCGCTCCCGGGCGGAGTCTCAAGAATCGCAGCTTCCAGGGGGCGTGTCCCGAGGAGGCGACGCCCCCTCCGTGGTGGGCGTGGCTCGGGGCGGAGTCTCGTGCGCGGGGGTGCCAGCCGGCCCCGACGGGGCGCGCTCAGAGGAAAGGGTTGGTGCCGGCCTGCGGGGGCGGCTGCAGCGGGCCCCCCGAGCCCGACAGCGGCACGAGCGGCTGCGGCAGGCTTCCGGGCGCCGGAGTGAAGGCGCCGGCCTGCGGGAAGACGCTGACCGAGGCGGGGAGCATCACGCCGGCCGGCACACTGCTGAGTGGGAGGGGCAGGGAGGCGCTGTAGGTCATAGAGCCCAAGGGTGCCCCTAGTGGTCCGCCGGTCGCCATGCCCAGCGCCGGCGACCCGGTGCGCATCTGGTTCAAGGTTGGCCGGCCAGGCTCGCCCGCGCCAAAGGGGTTGGTGGGGGATGGAGCGCTGAGACCTGCGAAAGGGTAGTAGGCGAATGGGGGCTTGCAGTTGAGTCCACCCGGGAACCCAGCCCTAAATGGGGCGGGGTGCAAGATCTGGGGTGGGAGGGGTCTTAGAAATAAAGGGTTAGGGGGCTGGATCCATAGCACAGCGGGTAGGGCGTTTGCCTTGCACGTGGCCGACCCGGGTTCAATTCCCAGCACCCCATATGGTCCCCCAGCACTGCCAGGAGTAATTCCTGAGTGCAGAGCCAGGAGTAACCCCTCTGCATTGCCAGGTGTGACCCAAAAAGCAAAAAAAAAGAAATAAGGCTTTGGGCTCAGAGTGAAGACAGCAAGCTAAGGAACCCCGTGGCGAGAGCACTGTAGGGATGAAGGGTGACCTACCTGTCAAGAAGGGGTTCCGGGTCTTTGCAGCCTGGGGTGCCTTGACTAACGAATCAAGGTTAACCAGGGAAGAGGCTGAGGGGCCCAGGAAGGACTCTGGCGTCGGGCAGGCTCTGGCCTCCTTGCTGGGCTGGGACAGCGCATCCCCCATCACGCCCAGGTCAAAGGTATCTGACTCCTTCGCTCCGTTTTGCTTGGAACTGGGGATGGGGTCTCCAAACAGGTCCAGCTCTGCAAAAGACCCGGGGGCGGAGCTCACTGGTGGGGACGGGGGTGGAAGAAGGGCAGGGTCACAGGTGTGGGCGGGCCCCTCATTCCCCAGAGCTGCCTCATCACCTGCCTCCTGCTTACCCACAGGGCTGGCGGATTTCTTTGGAGAGGGCAGTGCCTGGGCATACTCCAGCCCCTCCTTGGTTTCTGTGGAGCCCGGAGGCTTGGCAAATGGGTCAAAGGCCGAGGTACCACCTAGAGCTGACCAAGTAGGAGAGGAGAGGAGATGGGCTGATTCAAGGACCATCGAGGGCTGAGCCCCGCCCAGGCATGTGGCCTCTTTAACGCAGGGGCTCTGGTATCTCCAGGTCATCCACTTACCAGGTGAGTTGGAGGTCTCCCTGGAGGGCCCCCACGGGTCAGCCCCCACATTGAGCTTATGATGGGGAGAGCTCTGTGTCCAGGGGTCTGTGGCAGGGGGAGCAGCAGGCAGCGCTGGGGTCCGGCCCCAGGGCTCAGAGGAGGAGAGTGTGGGAGCTCCGTCCCAGGGCTGACTTCGGGATAGGGCACTCCCAGAGGGGACAGGAGACCAAGGATCGGCAGAGGGCCCCCAGGAGGAGCCGCTGGGCTCTGTGTTCTGCCTGAGACCTGAAGTGGGGACAGCACAGACGTCACCCTGAGCCCACAGAACCACAGAAGCTTCCTGCAGAAAATGCTGCCGCCCCTGAACTGACCGGTTTTCTGCCCACAGACACAGAGTCGCAAATGTAGGAAGGCTGGAAGCTGCCCACCTTCACCCGCACTGGGAACCAGCCAGGAAGCTCCCGCAGGTCGGAACCCATATTCAGCATGGGAGCATGGTCTGGACGACTAGGCCTGGGCAACAAGCAGGCCACCTTCCCAGTTTGCAGTGGTTTGGGGGGCTGGTGTCAAGCCGCGAGAACAGTGGGCCTCCCCATGAGCTGGACACCCCAGATGCCCCCCCGCCACCCCTCACTTTATCCTGGGTCTGTGAGGACACTGGGCTCAGAGATGACCTGGGATGGTCTGGGGGAGGGTCCAGCGGGACTGGGTCCAGCACTCTCACCTGGGATGTCCCAGGGGTCAGCAGAGCAGTGCGTGGAGGCCGGGGCCACTGTGAAGACGTCAGCCAAGTCCAGGATGGAAGACTAGAGGGCAGAAGCAGAGGTGGGCAGGGTGTGGAGGGAGGGTGGGTTACCGTGGCCTGTACCCCCCCCCCCATCCAGTTCCCTCTCTCCTGAATTCTTCCACAAACATCTTGAATGACCCCTGACCTCCGAATGGTGCTTTCCAGTTTACAAGTGCTTCTTCGTCCACTCGGGCCTACTTTTCACAACCACCCGGGAGAGACGGCAAGGCTGTGTTGGGAGTCTCTGAGGCCCAGTGAGCGGAAGCGAGCCACATACCTCAGCTGCTGTCCACGGCCCCAATGGATGTGAACCCCAGAAAAGTGTGGGCAATTCTGGGGGTGGGTGGCCTTACCCCCTATTCTGAGAGCACAAGCAAGCACCACTTCATGCAGAGGACACCCCATCAGAGCCTCCTTGGGGGGAAATCCATCCCCCAGTGGCCGTGTGGCCCTATGCCCGTGCAGAAGCTGAGGAGGACTGGGGCAGAACATGGGCACGTGATGTGCCACTCTGTGTCAGGTGTTCCAGCCCTAACTTCCAGGGCCCACCCCCATCTTGATCTGCACATTGAACTCTCCTGAGATGTCAGGGGGCTGGAAGTGTCCCCGCCCCAGTTGATGGTCTGCCCCAAGTCAGGGAGTTAGCAGCAGCCCAGGCAGACCCTGATCCAGGAGTTTCAGATCAGGCTCCCCTGCACCCCACTTTGCTATGGGCACCATTCCAGAAGGTGAGGGTGGCACTTTTCCCCTTGTTTTCACTGAACACATACCACCATGGTGCTTCCTGGGAGCCAGACGCCCCCCGACCTGATGCTCTTCACCCTTGGTAACCTCCTCCAGCTCCCCGGACGGTTTCCCTACACCCGTTTCCCCCTACCTGGCTGGTTTTCAGCTTCTCCTCCTCCTCCTTGCTCTCCTCCCTCTCGGGCTCTCTGTCCCGTCGCCGGTGGGCTGTGGCCCCGGCCCCATTGGCCATGGGAGAGTCCTCTGCCCGCCAGGACCTCACTTCCTGCAGAAGAGGATGACGGGGCAAGTGGGAGGCACCCAGCCTGGGCTGGAGGAGGCCTGAGTTGCAGTCAGGAGTGCGGAAGGAGGGAGGGAGGGAGGGTGGGCAGTGAGTGGTGAGGGCAGAGGACGCGGAGGAGCTTGGTTAGTGCCCAAGCAGCAGCTCCAGCAGCACCTGTCCCATCACCAACACCTGCACCAGCACCTGCCCCATCACCAGCGCCTGCATCAGCACCTGAGCCAACAGCTGGGGGGCCCCTTCCCCCGGCCACTACCTTCTCATGCTCCTGCCGGCTCAGGCGCAGGGCCAGCTGCAGCTGCAGGTCCTCATCTCTGTGGGAGACGGGGGGGACGGGCTGCCGGGGTAGGGGGAGGAGGGGGAGGAAAGGGGTGAACTGGGCCCAGAGCTTCACCACCACTCCTGGGCCACTGCCTGGACAGCAGTGTGTTGTGTGGGGTGCTTCTCGCCGTGGGCTTCGGAGATGCCATTTAAAAAGCAAGGCTGAATCAGGGACAGGCCATGCATGGTGGTGCGTGTGCATGAGCCTGTGTGGGTTCGTCCCTGGCACCTCATGCTCCAGAGCACTGCGGGGGGAGCTCTCCCACAATCACAATAAAGATGAGTTTTTAAAGAAAATCAGGTTTGATCCTTATTTTCTGGGATGGACCCGAAATGTGCCCCAAACCCTGTTCTGTGAGGCCCAGCGAGTTGCTGCCTGGTCTGCATGGAGCCACAGAGGGGGTGGCAGAGAGGACAGTATTGGGGGGCCACTACTGCCCCTGCAAAGGACAGCTGATGGGGAGCCAGCATTCCTGTGTCTCCTGGCATACGTTAGCATGTTTGCCCACAACCAGGCCACTGGGTAGTGGCCTGGAAGACACACCCTGTCCCCCCTCTCCCTACTCACTGCCCTTTCCAGGCCCACCCAGAGAGGCCTGGAAGTGGGGAGCAGTTCCTGGAGGGACGGTCGGAGGGGGACACAGACAGCCCCCAGGCCGTCCTAAGCGGATGGGAGCTTTGCAGTCAGAGGAGGGGCTGTGAGGTGTGTGTGTCAACCCCCCGGCCCACCCTGCCCCAGCGGGCCTGACCTTCTCGGCCTCCTCTCGGCTCATGGCCAGGGCCAGCTGCAGCTGCAGCTCCTCTTCCCCGGATGTCTGCGGCCGCGCCTGCTCCAGGTCCGACGTGTAGCGGGGGGAGGACGAGGAGGCTGCAGAGACAGGGCCATCGTGTGAACCCCTGGGTGCCCGCTGGGCCCCCCTCCACAACACCCCAGGAAGACAAGCCTCAGGGGTGGGAATGCGAGGGGCCCAGGCTGCAGGCTTTGCTATTCCACCCCCCTGAGGACCCCTCCGCAGATGAGCTCCAAGAGGGCCCCACCAGTGTCCTGCAGAAGGACGGGAATCCCGGTCCCTCACTCCAGCTGCTGGGCGCCCCGGTCCCCACCTCCTAGACTGTCCAGCGTAGGTCAAGTGGGGTGGGAGGGGGAAAGGGTCCCCTTGCTCAGGCCCAGCTCTGAGGTGCAGCTCTCTGAGAGCAGCTGGCCAAGGGCAGTTCCACAGTGGGCCCAGTGACCAACCAGAGGCTGAGCCACTCCTCTCCCACCCAGTGTGGGTCACAGAACCCTCTCACAGTGCCCGTCTCAGGCGCGCATCTGATCAGAGACACCCAGCACCGTGGGGAGGAGCCCCCGAAGCTGCTGCCCTCCCAGTGTCCTCAAACAGGGCCGCCTCGGCCTCCGATGTCCACACCAAACAGCTGAGCTGGGGATGCTGGTAGAGAGCACCTGCTCCACATGTATGTTTGTGCTCGACCCCCAGCACTGCATAGTCCCCAGAGCATCACTGGGAGAGTCCCCAATACCACCCCACCCCACCCCACCCCCCAGCACTGAGCCAGGAGTAGCCCTGGCTCTGTGCACTGCCAGGGGTGACCCCAAATCAACAAATCATACAATGAACCTCGAGAGCATTGACTCTGCCTTATAGGTGAGGGCACCGTGTGTGTGGGAGGGTGGGGAGTGCAGGGGGGTCCTGGTCACCCAGCTTGAAGGGCCAGTATGAGGACTGGTCCACACACCCAAGTTAGATTTCTGCCACCCACTGTCCTACCAAAAAGCCTCTTCAAAGGAATTGCAGGGGGCCAGAGTGATGGTACAGCTGGGAGGGTGCTTGTTTCGCATGCATCTGATTTCCGGTTCAATCTCTGCCACCCCATCTGGCCCCCCAAGTCTGCTAGGAGTGATCTCTGAGCATAGTGCCAGGAGTAAACCTTGAACACAGCTGGGTGTGGCTCCCCTCCCCCCCAAAGAAACTGCAGTCAAATTAACTGAGTACCACCACAAGTACCTGGAATCACAAGTACTGAGTACCATCATGAGCACCAGGAATAACAATTACTCAGTATCATCAGCAGTACTATCATCAGGAGTACTAGGAATCATGAGTACCATCATGAGTACCAGAAATCACAAGCACCAAGCACCATCATGAATACCACCATGAGTACCGAGCATTATCATTAAGTACCAAGAATCACAAGCACCAAGTACCAAGACACATGCGTACTGACTACCGCCACAAAAACCGAGTACCATGGTGAGTACCATCACAAGTACTGAGGATCATCACAAATACCAGGAATCACAAGTATCAAGTACCATCACGAGTACCAGGACTCTTGAGTACTGAGTACCATCACAAGAACCAGGAATCACAGTTCCTGGACGCTGCGGACGGCCTGTATCTGGTGAGTTACATCCCTGGTCTCACGCCCTGGCCGGCCACTACCCCGACCTCCCTCTGAGGGCGGCCACGTAGGCCGCCCCCCCTCTCCCGGGTCCCCATGCACCCCGAGACCCCACTCACAGTTGTAGGACGACGGGGAGCCCCGTGTGCGGCTGCATTCATCCCCGTGGCGGCGGCTGAAGCCCAGCTGCCCGCTGCCGATGCCCATGCCCTCCAGCGCCATGCGCTCCTTGGTCTTGAGGGCGTGCATCCGCTCCTGGCGGAGCCGCTCCTCATCCTTGAGCAGGGCCATCACCTGCTTGACCTTCTCGCGCACGTTGACGCCCTGGTCCTTGCCGTCGCGGTCGATGTGCTGGAAGTCCTTGAGCGTCTGGATGGTGTAGAGGTTCTCGCGGCACTGCTGGGCCACGCGCTCCGAGCCCGTCTTGAGCAGGTAGTCAAGCAGCGTCAGCGCCTTGTACACGTGCCGCCAGTTCTTGCCACTGTCGTTGAGCCGCCGCCACAGCATGCCCATGACCTCGGCGAAGGCCACCGTGTTGAAGGTCAGGTCGGCGATCTCCGACATGAGCGAGCTGGGCGGCCCCCACGGGTCATTGCTGGTGGCCTCGCGCACCTTGATCTCCGCCTCCGAGTAGTTGTGCACGAGGTTCTTCACCTGGCGCCGCAGGGCTGACGTCGTCATGGCCGGGGACTTGGACATGGGCAGCCCCTGCCCCAGCCGGAGGCGGAGGGCCGAGGGCCACCGAGGCGAGATCGCCGGCTCCACAGAGGGGCCGCTGTGAGCTTAGCAGGAAGACTGCGTCCCTGGGTCCCGCATGGGTCTGAGGAAGAGAGGGGGTCTGGACTTAGAGGCGGTGGGCGGTGGGGGGGTTGTCCTCCAGCTGGTCACTCCCTCACCCACTTACAGCCGGGTTGGGGGTTCCCTGCCACCTGGTCTCCCTCCAGAAGCAGGCACCTGTTTTTATTTTCTGACTTATTCCTTCCCCACAGATGCCTGGAGTGAGGCCCTTTTAGCTTCTCACACATGAGGCCAAGATATGGTCTCCATGGGGAGGGGGGGAGGGTCCAGGAAAGTATTTGACTTGTCCAAGATCACAGAGCAGGAATGGGGGCGGGGACCCAGGATTAACCCAGGATTAACCTCTCATGTGCGGGTTCTTGTCAAGAGACCCGAATGGGTTCCCCAGAAAAGCCTTCTTACCCCACCTCTTCCATTTCTGCCAGGATCTAGCCTAACACCTGACCTCTCTTTGGCCTCTCTTCTGGTATTGCGAATTTGTGTCGTTTGAGCAACTCAACTCCTGTGCCCTCGGTCTCCACTGAGTCAGGGACTGTGCCAGCCACAGAACACCAGTCCACGTCCAGATAGTCATGATCTAGCAGAGCCCTAGGAAGTCCCAAGCTAGGAAAATCAGAGAAGACTTCCTGGAGGAAGCGATGACTGAGCTGAGCTGTAAGATCCCAAGGGAAGGGTGAGGGGGAAGCAAGCTGGACACCGGAGGGGGGAAGAAGCAACATTGGCAGGAAGTTGCTGCCCCCTTCCCCATTGAAAATCCGTGAGCACTGGGGCCAGAGGAGGGACGTGGCTCAGTCACACACACACACAACGTGTAGGAGGCAGAGATAGGAGAAACACCCAAGCCTCAGAGGACTAATTCAATACTTATTGTCCTTGTCACTGGTTTTGTAATTAATTCACCTGGTTATTGTCGGGTCTCCGTCCCACCTTCTCAGTCAGGGTGCTTGCCGGAGGTAAAGAAAGCCACTCTGAGCCCCCCAAAGCCACGAGGCTCTGGGCATATGCGGGTCTCTGGTAGCAGGGAAGGAAGGATGAGGGCCAGGGTACTGCCCTCAGCACCAGGCCGTCGGCCAAAAGCCAACCCAGCCCCAAGACAAGAAGTTCCCCTGAAATCCTCCTAGCATCTCTGTGACCTGGGCGCACACACCCTGGGGTGCCCTGCAGAGCCTCCATCTCTGCTCTCCCGGGGTGCTGGTGCTGCTCCCTCACCCCCACCCAGCACCCAGCCCTGCACCTGAGCTCAGTTCAAAGGGGCCCTCCCCAGGCCTTGAGGCAGGTTTCACAGGGCTGGGGGCGGGCAGGTGCTTCAGAGCTTCAGAGAGAGGAGGGGAGCCCCACTCTCAAGGGGTGCCAGGTGGGATGGAGAGAGCTGGCTGGGAGTGCCGCCTACCTGCGCTCTGGGGCTGTCCGGCTGTCCGTCCTTCTGTCCAGCAGAGGCAGACCTTCTGTGGTGTGCCCTGCCAGTCCGGGTTTAATTCCTGCCCTCCCCCTCACTGGTGACTCAGAGCGGGCTTTACCTCCCCAACCAGTGGGCTGGCGGGTGGCAAGAGTCAAGATGAGAAATAATTGTGCCTGGCGCACACCCCTCCCAGCGCTGGCCACTGAAACCAGCAGAACCAGTCCGGCATCCGGACTCCCTGGCCGGCCCAGCTCTCCAGCCCAGCCTGCCTGACCTTTCCCGGGAGTCAGGGAGACGACTGGGGACTGAGACTGGGGACTGGGGATTCCTCGCGGTGTCCCTCTATGCCAGGAGCAGGGGGGAGAGAAAGCTCCAACAGACCAGGCAATGCCCGAGACCACCCTGCCCTGAAGTTTGGGGGGGGGGGCGCAGGAAGGAAGGGTTGGGGGAGGCCCAGTGAGCAGGAGGAGGGGAAGGAGGCGGCCGCGAAGGAGAGGGAGCTGCTGGCACGCTGCCCGCGGGTTACAGGCAGAGGTTTCATCGAACACAATATGCCCAGAATAAAAGCCAGTGAAACCGAAACCCCACGGCCCGCCGATAAGGCGCAGCGCAGCGGCTGCCCGGCAGCCCCGCAGGGGTGGAATTACTGCAGTGACCTTGGGCCAGACCCTGTCAGGTGGAGACAAGGACACCAAGCGGCCAGGGCCCCCAGAGGCCTGTTCAGAGCTTGGGGGGGTGAAGTGGAGGGGAGAGCAGAGAGGGAGGGGAAGCCGGTGCTGGCCAGGGAAGGGGAGACAGGCCACTGGGTACCGGGGTACCAGCTCAGCTCTCCCACAGAGTCCCAAGGAGAACTTTATAGGGCGCCCTGGTGGCTCTCTGCGGGGGACCGGGTGGGGGTGGCTAGGACTGGGGAGACTGAGGCGTCTCCAGAGTGGAGGGTTCAGGCAGAGTGAAGGAAGCCAAGTTCCAGGACCTCAGTCTGTGAGTGGCGGACCCCTCCCCACCCTCCCAGGAGAGGGGCGTTGGGGAGGAGGGGAGGGGGTGCGGGGGAGGAGGGTGTTGGCTCTAGTCTAAGAAGTAAAAGTGCTAAGGGCACTGGAGTGGGGTCGAAGGAGGAGGGGCAGCAGGGAGTGCCCCCTAGGTCCCCTGCGGGGGAGGGGGGTCTTCAAAGAGGGAGGGGAGCAGGCACCCAGCATCCAGGCTGGCTCCGTTGGAACCGGCTTCCTGGCCCAGGAGCCCCGCGGGAGAGTCAGTCCCAAGGCTGCCCGGCACCCGCGCCCCCCGCGCGGGAGCCCAGAGCCCACGCCCAGCGCCCCGCGCCTGCGCCCAGGCCCCGCGCCCCCGCCCTGCCGGGAGGAGCCCTCTTACCTGGGGTGCCGGCGCCCTTGGCCCCAGCCCCGCGACCAGGACCACGAGCCGCCTCCGCAATGACCCTGAGCGCCAGGGGGACGGCACAGCCTGGGCAGTGCGCCCAGAGCCATCCACCAGAGACCCCCGCGCGCGCGGGCGGAGACCCTCCTTCTCGGGAGGGGCAGCCCCCCTGCAAGGGCGCGGCAGGGTCCCGGGTGGGGGGCTGCAGCCAGGGCCCCTGGCTCCCGCTCCGCTGCCCTCCGAGCTGCCCCCTGTGGCAGCACGGGCAGGCGAGGAAAGTTGCTGGGCTGGCCGGGCAGGTCCGCCTCAGCGGTAACAGGACCCGGGAGGGACGCACAGCAGTTAACCCCTTCCTGCTGGCTGTGCTTAGCCCCGGGAGAGCTCCCAGGACTGCGGGATTCACACCAAGTAGGGAACCCACCTCACCCTGCGGGGGGGCGTTAACCCTTCCTCTGCCCACGCAGTAGGAAATGGGTGGGAACCATGCACACCAGCTCTCTCTCGTGCCTCCCCCTGCAGTGAGGACCGTTCCAGGCCCGTCTGGAGGCTCCCCGCCCCCCTCCCCGCTGCCCACTCTGCCACCAGGCACAGCCTCTCCGACACCTTCTGCAAACCTCCCACTACCAACTGGAGATGCCTGGTCCAGGGAGGTCCTTATCCAAAACACCAAATGCAGAGCCCAGAGGATGGGAAACCCCAGGCCAATCCAGGGACCCACTACACACCTCCATCCTTCCATCAGGAAAAGGTTCCCCTCAGCCCAGTTCTCCTTTGTTTTGGGGCCACACCCAGCAGTGCTGGGGAGGGGGGGGCACGGTTACTCCTGGCTTGGAAGTCAGGAATTATTTCTGGCGAGCTCCGGGATGTGGAAGATGAACTCTGGGGTCTACTGCATGCAAGGCAAGTGCCCTCCTGCTGTGTTATGGCTCCAACCCATACCCAGTTCTTCCTTGGGAGCTCAGATATAGGGTAAATGAGCGCAGACAAAACCTTCCCTGCCAAGAGCTGTCTGTGGGCAAGAGAGAGAGAGAAGCACCATGCCCTGAGGTCACTTCTAAGACACTTTCAAGGCTCCATGCGCCTGACAGCTCAACACGGGTGAGATCAACTAAAATCCAGAATAAGAACCATGAACCCGTGACAAAGGGTTCTGGCCCTGAGTGTTTAAGAGTGAGGTCATGGGCTGGAGTGGGAGCGCAGCAGGGAGGGCACTTACCTTGCACAGGGTTGACTCAGTCCCCAGCCTTCATCTGGTCCCTGAGTCCATCAGGAGGGATCCCTGAGCGCAGAGCCAGGAATAAGCTCGGAATACAGCCAGGTGTGGTCCCCCACTCAAAAATAAATAAATAAATAAATAAATAAAGGTGTGGTCACTGTGGAGTTTGCTCTCTGCACAGTTGAACGGCATCCTTGGACCCAGCTGAAGTAGGGGGAGCGGTCGTGGGGTACTTGGCACTGAGTTCTCTTAGCCTCACACTTGCTCATACCTGGTGATGACTCAGCGGGCATGGCCCAGAAAGCATGAGCGAGGGGTGCTGTGGGTCCCGGCACATCCAGCTTCATCTCTGCTGCTGGAGCTGACTTGCTCTTCTCGCCATCCCACACCCCACCTCCCAGGCTTGCCACCCTCTCCCTTCTGCTGGATGACTCCAGGGACAGAGAAAGGGACAGCTCCAGAGACTCGTCCCTCCAGAGCCAGGGAACAGGATGGGCCTGGCCATTAACCAACATCATTTGAGGTGTATGACCGCCTACTGTCGTTTGGCTCTTGTGTTTTCAGTGTTGTTGAGGTTTGGGTATACAACCACTAAACTTTAAAATGTGCCTGTCAGTGGCTGAAGTGATAGTACAGCAGGCTGGGTGTTTGCCTTGCACACGGCCACCCGGTTTATATCCCCAGAACAACCCATATGGGTCCCGAGCATCACCAGGATTGGTCCTTGACCAATTCCAGGTGTGACCCCCCCAAAAAAAAGCAAAATAAAATAAAATGTGCCTGTCAACGTGGCAGACTTGGGGGGGGAGAGGGAATCTAGAAAGTTTGGGGAGACTGGCAGTGGGAAGTTGACACTGATGGTAGGATTGGTGAAAGAACATTATATATCTAAAATCCAACTGTTAAAAACATATAGATCACAGTTCTTTAATTTATTTTTTATTTTAATTTAAGGAGCGATAGCACAGCGGGTAGGGCGTTTGCCTTGCACGCAGCCAACATGGCCGACCCGAGTTCAATTCCTCCGCCCCTCTCGGAGATCCCGGCAAGCTACTGAGAGTATTCGATATGCCAGACACAGTAACAACGAAGTCTCCAATGGAGACGTTACTGGGCCCGCTCGAGCAAATCGATGATCAATTGGGAGGGCCTTTACTTTACTTTTAAATTTTTATTAGTGAAACACCATGAGGTACAGTTGTAGACTTACAAATTTTTGTGCTTGGGTTTCAGTTATACAATGATCAAGTACCCATCCCTCCACCAGTGCCCATTTTCCACCACCACGGGTCCCAGTATCCCTCCCACCTCCCATCTCCCCCATCCCACCCTGCCTCTGTGGCAGGGCATACCCTTTTGTTCTCTCTCTCCTTTTGGGTGTTGTGGTCTGCAAAAGAGGCATTGAGTGGCAATTCATGTTTGGTCTACACAGTTCTTTAATTTAAAACATGTACTTCGGTTTTGGGTCACACCCGGCAATGCTTTGGGGTCACTCCTGGTGGTGTTCAGGGGACCATATCGGATGTAGGAAATTAAATCCCAGTTGATTGCATGCAAAGCAAATGCCCTAGCTGCTGTACTATGGCTCTGGCTCCTAATTAAATTGTTTTAAATAAAGAGATGCGGCAGTCGGACCGTGCATTCCACAAGGCTGACTCAGGTTAGTGATCCCTGGTACCCCATAAGGTTCCTGGGAACACCAACAGGAGCCAGTCCTCAAGCACAAAGCTAGGAATAAGCCCTGAATACCTCTAGGTATGGCCAGAACATTCCCTCCAAAATAAAAATGCAACAGTCAAGACCCAGTGAGAATTAGGAGGTTGCAATGTAAAGGCTCTTTATTGGTGCTCTGTTCTATTTCCCAGGAGGTGGCCCAGACACTGGGATCAAGTGCAAAGTCGCAAGGTCTCCTCCACATTCGTGATGGGGCCGAGCTCATCGGCCATGGCCATGAGGTCAGTGAGCAGGTCTTCCAGCAGCCCGTAGACCTGGAATACCCAGAGGAGCAACCCCAGGTTTGCTCTGCAGCCAGACCGCAGCGACACACGGAGGTGGCTGAGTACCACCGAGAGCACAGCGCCGGGGAGGGGACGACAGAGCTGCAGGAGGCTCTGTCCAACTTTGGTTTTTGCAAGTCACTGGTGCAGTGGCCTCGGACAGATGTAGCAGGAGAATCTAGATGGGCTCTAGGGGTGACTGGGCCCAGGTCCCCCGAGACTGATTTTGCTTCCCAAGATTCTAGAACATGTACTGAAATATCACCAGGACTGATGTTCAAGGTCTGTTTGGAACCAGGGACTGAAACCAGGACTCTCACCCACAGAGCAAATGCTCAGCCCTCTGTGCTGTCTGCCTGGCCCTCTCTATGGCCTTTTTTTCTTTCCGGGTCACACCCAGCAGTACTCAGAGGTTACTCCTAGCTCTGCATTCAGAAATCACTCCTGGTGGGTGTGATCCCAGGAATCACTTCTCTGGGCTCAGGGGACCATACAGGATGCTGAAGATTGAACCTGGGTTGACTATGTGCAAGGCAAATGCCCAGCCTGCTACACTATCGCTCCAGCTCACTGTGGCCTTCCTGATGCTCTGCCCCTGCCAGCCCACCCACCTCCCTCTTCTCCATGATCTCCTCCCCTCAAAACTAGGTGGGAGTCAGGATGCCCACCCAGGTGCCCCACTCACGCCTCTGCTTCCCTCACACCCTGGGGGGCTGGAGCTCACAGAATGTGGAATGCAGGAGTAGGAAAGGGTGAGGCGTGGCATGGACACTGAACACCCCCCCCCCACACACACACACACCTCAGTGTACAGTCTGTGCGTGTACTTCTCCATCACCAGGGGGTCAGTGGGCTCCTGTGAAGGGCCAGTGCTGTAGTGTGCCTGGTAGACCCTGTCCCGACTGACAGATTTTAGGGGTTTCTTGTCATCCTTGGCTTTGTGCTTCTTGCTGTTGAACCGGTCTTGCTGTGGGTGGTGGGGTTGGGGGGCAGGGGAAAGAGACATATGCAGCATCAGCTGCTCCCCACTCCCCAGTGGTGGGGGGGGGTCTAAGGCCCCGCCCCAGCCCCAACCCAGCTCCGAGCCCTTCTTCGGGAGCGCTTCCACACCAGGTCCTGGCGTGTGTCTTTTGCAGGTGACTTGGTCCCCTTCTTATCCTCTCTCTCTCGGGTGCCCAGTTGCTTCCTCTCCTGCGCGGTTCCTTTCCGGTCCTCCTTCATGGCTCTCCCAGAAGAGACTTTCCCTTCTAAAACCAGAGGCAACCTTGGGGCGTGGGAGGAACAGAAGCCCCAGGGAGCCTTACAGACAGCAAGGGCTAGAGTCAGGGCTGGCATGGCACCCAGGGCCGCCCAGGGCGTGCCACCCTGGACACAGAGCCCTGTGCGGGACTGTGGGGGGGGTGGGCTAGGCTCTGGTTCCAGCTCTCCCTCTCCATGTGGGGCGCTTGCTCGGCCAGGCACCTCTGATACAAGGGCACCGAGCTATGGCCAGGGCCAGGGCCTCACATCCCGGCAGCAGATAAAAGGTTTGCAGGGACCTGCCCCGTGGTACCAACCTAAGACAGACATAGTGGCGTGGCTGCGAAGGACCTGGCCATGCTCCTCTGGCACGTCCAAGTAGATGGTTTCCTTCTCTGGGAGGCCCAGCAGGGACCTCAGCCACAGGGCGTGGCTCACTAGGCTGTCAATCAGGTCCCGCCACAGATACAAGCTAGGAGGCAAGACTCATACGGGGGACATGTTTCCTCCACACACGGGGACACGGTTCCCACCCGCACATGGGGAACATGGTTCCCGCCCACACATGGGACACGTTTCTTCCACATACAGAACACGGTTCCTCCACACACGGGACACGGTTCCTTCCCACACATGGGACACGCTTCCCCCACACATGGGGGACATGGTTCCCTCCCACACACAGGAACATGCTTCCCCCATACACGGGGACACAGTTCCCTTCCACACACGGGGACATGGTTCCCTCCCACACACAGGGACACGGTTCCTCCATACACAGGGAACATTCCTCCATCCCAGTTCCTTGTTTGCCCTCTACCGTTCCGAGCTGTGGGTCTTTCACAGGGTGCGGAGCTGCTGTGACCCAGGGCTATGGGACATCCTCACTGGCACCCCAGAGAATACTCAGTGGGGAGTGCTTGGGCGGCAGCTGGGCTCAGGGGACCTGGAGACCCCGTCTCACCTCCCACCTAACATCAGTGCTGGGCTTGGGGGCCGGCCCCACCTGAAGGAGCAGGGATGAGACCTCACAGGAAGGAGGGATTTGTTAAGTGTCCCCAGGCGCGTGGCTGAGGAGTGAGTGGTGGAAGATTCCATGGCCAGGCCACACCCCCCCTCTCCAGCGCTCATGCCCCACTCAGGGAGTAGCTGGGCTTACTGGACTGTGACGACCCAGCAGAAAGCAGCGTGGGTGGGGGGTGAGGGGGAGGAGGGCCCAGGCGGAACAGCGGCAAGCCGAGCTGGGGGAGGCAGAGACAGGGGAGGTGCTGGGCGGGTGGTACCTACCCCATTTGATGCCGGAAGTCAGACTGCAGCTGTTTTGGGCCCTTACATAGCTCAGACGTCATCTTGTTGAGCCCGATGAGGGCGTCTTCTCTCTGGTGCTCCTCAGGGAGGGCCATCATAATCTGCCAGGGCCATACACACCACGGCATCAGCTCTGCCTGGGACACTAAGGGGCCCCATGTCCCCGGGTGTGTGTGGGGGGGAGGGGGAGTGCTTGGCAAGGTGGAGACAGGTAGCCTGGAGGGCAAGACGTCATGACACTGACCTGAGGTGCATGCTGAATCTGGCTGAGGTGCCCTCCCCTCCCCCACCAGTGCTTCCTCCAGGGATGTGTCCCTTGGGACCCTCCCACAGAGGGCTGGCATCATCCCCACCCCGGCTGTTCTCCAGCCACCCAGAGGGGCGGGGCAGGACCTCTCTGAAGTCCTTCAAGGAGAGGTTCCACTCGGGCAGGGAGCCCCTGCGCATGCTCTGGAGTTGGAGGTCCTCCTCCTCCAGCACCCCCTCCATGATCTTCTTCCACGGCGACTTCCTGGTTGACGCTTTCGACTTGATGGGCCCAAAGGAAGCATCGACGACCTTGAGGACATTGGGCTCCTGCCTGCGCCCATGGTGTGCCGAGGGGGTACATTTCAATGGCAACGTCGGCTCCAGGTTCTGGGAGAGCTCCTTGGACTTGGCCATCACTGGCGCATATCGGCACCACAGCTCCTGCAGGCTCTGGACCACCTGGTACTGGTAACACAGCTGCAGCCACCGGGGAGCAACCGGGAACGACGCATGAGGGGCGCCAGTACCGAGGCTTCCCACGGGGCTTCCCAGGGAGCGCTGGCAGGGGAGGGCCAGAGAGCCAGCAGCCCCCTCCTCCCTCAGACTCTCCAGCTTCAAGTGTTCTGTGCCTTGGGTTTTCCGGGCCAGACTGGGCTTCTGAGCAGGCGGACACCTCCCTGTGTGAGGTTCCGATCTCACCTGGCGTCTCCTCCTGGGCAGGGGAAACTGTGGCCAAGGGCTGAACCTCTCGGCGCCTTGAGGCCAGAGAGATAGTACAGTGGGTAGGGCACTTGCCTGGAACCCCCTAGCCCTCACCGGGAGCGATCCCTGAGCATGGAGTCAGGAGTAAGCCCTAAGCACTGCCAGGTCTGGGCCCCAAACTGAAATGAACCCAAGCCCCTCAGTGTGCCTCCATCTCTTCAGGAGAACGGGCGGCTCTGAGAAGAGCCATCAACCAGGGTCACTGTGAGCAGGGCGGGACTCCCCACACAGGGACATGGGAGGGGACAGGTGAGGGTGTGCTGGCCCATCCCCGTGGGGCCGGCAGGGTGGGCCTGTACCTGGGGGTTCTTGTACCGGAACACTTCCTCCTCGGTGAGGTAGCTGTCCACGGGCGAGCTCGGGCGCTCTGGGGTCAGGATGCCCTGCAGCAGCTCCTGCATCACACTCTCCACCACGGTGTTGGCCTCTTGTGTGGCCAGCTTTTTCTGGGCGCGGGAGAGGGGCACGTGGCTGTCCAGGCACTTGAGCCCAGGGGCAGCTGGAGGGGAGCCTGGCGTTTTCCCAGAGGACTTGCACCTGCCACTGTTTGACTGTCCTACACCCACAGCCGGGGCCACAGCTCACACAGAGGCCAGTCCCATGGGCAGTGGGTAGAGCAGATGGGACATTTGCCCAAACTGTCTTCCCTCCCCCTGCAAGTGGGGAACATGCCGTGACTGGCACGTGCTCAGAGGCCAAAAGGGTGGGTGAAAGTTCAGCTTGCCACAGCATCCCACAATGCACGGCAGAGGCGACCCCTCCACGAAACACATTTGGAGGGTGGGTGGCTACAGCTTCCAGTCCCTGTCACATGCCCTCCAAGCTGTTGGCCCCATGAATTAACTCAGCTGCACACACACACACACACACACACACACACACACACACACACATATACACACACACACACAGTCCCAGACATGGAGACCCAGGATCCTCTTTCCAACCTGGCTGGGGCCTGGCATCAGCAGGCCCAAAGATGCCCCTCCCTGCCTTGCCCACCCACCCATCTTAGACACCACAGAGCCCAGCTGAGCAGAGGGCAGGCAGGAGATTCTGTCTGTCCGTGAACCTGCAGGCAGAGATGTGGGCCTGGGCAGTCTCTCCAGGCCAGCCACTGAGCCATCCCCTCGGTGCCTTACCTGTAGTGATATCCTGCCTTCCCGAAAGAGGTCTTGGGTCAGGGAGATGGCATGGAGATTGACCAGCAGAAGCGCACCTCCTAAAAGGACGGGGTGTGTCGCGAATTCCCAACACTCCCTGAAGATCCCAGCATCCGAAGACTTGAAGAAGAAGGTAAAAGTTTTCGTTTCTTCGGGCAGAATCACACCTGAGAGGCCAGAGACAAGAGGTTTCAACTGGCAGGAGCCAGCTGAGGCCTGGTCTGCATGAACACACTTAACTGAGCCCCAAGCCCATGTGTGCAGTTAACTGAACCCTGAGCCTACGTGTACACACTTAATTGAGCCCCAAGCCCACATATACAGCATTAACTGAGCCCCAGGAAGGATAACCATGTGTTCAGGTTTTCTGGGACTGGGGTTCCCTGGCCTCTCAGACTCTGAGAGCTAAAACTGCGATAGTCCCAGACAAATGGGAAAGCTGGGCACCCTAGTAGAGGCATACGAGCAGCTGAACCCCGAGACGGCTTCTGCTCCCTGAAGCTCACCTCCTTGATCTCAGGAGTTACCCCGCTCCCCTGCCAACCCCCCACCCCTTGCCTCCAGACATGGACAGACACACGTCAGAGAAGCAGGGGCCAGGGATAAGGCAGGGATGAAGGGCTGTGACAGAGCCGGTGCCTTCCCGGTGGTGTACCTTCCCGGTTGTCAAAATAAAACTGTTGCACCCGGTTTCTCTTCATGTCTCGGAAAGCATCCAGCTGGGACCGCCGCTGCCAGTTGTACCAAATGACCACTGTGCCATTGTTGACCACGGTCAATTCCGAAGATGTTTTCTGTCCTTCTATCGTTTCAAAGGTCAACCGGACCTCAATTCCAACCTGCACCTGGAGAACGGGTGGCCTGAGTCAAGCCTCTGCCCCAGGCCCTGCGAGAGCTCTCAGACAGGACAGGACCACCCCTGCTAAGACTGATTCTAGGGTGACCATCACCAGTTAGAGGCAGAGACAGGTCAGATTTTATAGCTAAGGAACACTCCTGCTCTTTGGCATCTGAAGGCTTGGTGGTGATGCACAGTAGTTACTCTTGGCTCTGCACTCAGTAATTACTCCTGGTGGTGCTCGGGGACCATATGGGATGCTGGGAATCAAACCTGAGTCGGCCCTGTGCAAGGCAAATGCCCTACCCGCTGTGCTATCGCTCCAGCCCCTGAAGGCTTGTTTTGAGCCTCTTCAAGCCACACCTGTGTGAGAAGGCCGGCTTATTGACATGCTGGGGGACTAGGGAGGGAGCGGGTGGCTGGTGATATCTTTTCACCTGTGGCTTGGTTATGACTCAGGTGAGCGCTGCCCTTCTTGTTCTCAGGCAGAGCTCAGGAGTGGACAAGAGCCCTGGAGGAGACGAGGAGACGCAGACACACAGGCCCTTAGACCAACAGGGTGCAGGGCGGGAAGGTGGCATTACCTTCTCCTCGGAGCTGTTCTCTCGGATCCAGCAAGCAGGCTTCCCGCAGAAGAGCAGAGAAGGGCCCAGAATAGGCATGGATTCCACATCGCAGTCGACGTCGTTAGCTAGTAAGTCTCTGCAGGAAGAGCCAGTGGCTTCCCTTTGTGGCGGCAGACCCCAGGACAGCCTAGTGTGTCTAACGGGGGGCCTGGCCCTGCCCTCCACTGAATTACCACCCCCCCCTTTCTGGCCCCCACTCCCTCGGATTCTGGACCATCCTGTGTGCTCTCACAGCGGGCGGGATCTTAGACACACAGAGATTCCTCCCAGAGGGCAGAGCGGGCGAATCGGGAGGAGACCCGCTTACCAGCAGAGGATGTCTAGGAAATCTCCGTTAGGAAGTGGTTACCGGGAGGGGAGCAGATGGCAAGACAAAAGCTGGCACAGGTGCCAGAATGGGCTCGAGGAGAGGGTGGCGGCCGCCAGGGAGAGGCCTGCACGGTGGCACCCCGACTTCAGGGTGAGGGTGCCCTTGAATTCTGGCGGGTGCCAGAGGAAGGCCACTTGCCAGCCCCCCTCCCGAGGGCCCAGGCCTGACTCACAGGAGCGTCGTGGCTTCAGAGGTGCTTCTCTTGCTCTCTTCAACCACCGAGTAGTTTTCCACCGTGACCGTTGAGAGAGGGCGGCCTTTCCCCACCACCTCCAGGCCTTCAATATCCTCAGAAAGACCGAGAAAGGAACGACTCGCTCGCTGAAGACGGCTCGCCTATGGGGCGGTGGACTGGGGCCACTGAGACCTGGCCAACCTGTTGGCTGAAGTCCAGCTCCTCCATGATGCTCTGCAGTTCCTTGCGCCGGTAGATGAGAAACAGGCTCCGGTCCCATGTGTAGCGGTACCACGCTTCCTGCTGGCCCAACAATCCTGGAACGGGATCCGATGCCAGCTGTCATGGCGCCTCCTGCCCCAACCCCTCTCCGGGGCTCAGAGAGCCTCTGCCCAGCACCAGTTCTGGAAAGCTAAAGAACGAGGTCTTCTGTCCTTCCATCCAAACCTACTGCATCTCAGGGGCCCCACGGAGAAATGAATTTCCAGAGTACAAAGCCAGGAGTAAGCTCTGAGTACAGCCAGTTGTGGCCCAAAAAGGAAAAGAGAACGAAAGAAAGAAAGAAAGAAAGAAAGAAAGAAAGAAAGAAAGAAAGAAAGAACAGGGCTGGAGGGATAGTACAGCGAGTAGGGCATTTGCCTTTCACACGGCAGACCCAGGTTCTATTCCCAGCATCCCATATGGTCCCCCGAACACCACCAGGAGTAATTCCTGAATGCAAAGCCAGGACTAACCCCTATGCATTGTTGGATATAACCCCAAAACAAACAAACAAACAAACAAACAAAAAAACAAGAGCAGCTGTGAGGCAGAAGAGATAGTACAAGGGTTAAGGTGCTTGCCTTGCATGCAGCCAACCCTGGTTCCATCCCCATTGCCCCAGAAAAGAGAGAGAGCAGGTGTACCACAAACACAGGAGGTTGATGGAATTATGTTTTCCTCAAAGCCATAGTCAGAAAGTAGGCAAAGAGAAACATGCAGAACTCACAGTAGTGATATAGTTCAGCCCAGTAAGCCAACAGTATCATTTCCATGTGTGATCAAGGGAAAACTCAGAAATATTTTTTCTTCTTCTTTTTGGTTTTTGGGTCACACAGCAGTGCTCAGAGATCACTCCTGGTGGGTCTTGGGGTACCGTATGGGGTATCAGGGATTGAATCCAGGTCAGCTGCATGCAAGGTAAAAGCCCTGCCTCCTGCACTCTCTCTCAGGCACACAGAAACATATATATATATATATATATATATATATATATATATATATATATATTTTAGGCTAAACTCTGAACGCCAGCATGTGGCCATTACCCACAGCTCTTCCTGGACCACACTTGCCCCATCCTGGTGGCCCAACCAACTCAGCACTCGGGGAGGCCAGCAGACAGCGAGGCCTCTCAGCCAGGTCCCACCCTGCTCCCGCCCTGCCTCCATCCCCCTGGAGAGGCAGGGCCATGTCCCCACTACTCACCTGTCTCTACCTGGATAGAGTGGGGCTTTCGGACATGGGTGATGGGCTCCAGCAGCCCTCGCTGAGTCTTGGTCTTGGTCATTACCAGACCTGTGACTTCATCGCCCAGATTTTCCAGTCGACTCCAGAACCCTCTGGACTCCTGGGTGACCTAGAGAGGAAGTGCAGACAAATCAGACCAGGCAGATGACTTGGGGAGATGCTGGTGGGGCACTGGGCAGGCGACAGACAGAGACACAGGCACCCCACTTGGAGGTGTGGGGGGTCCTGTCTCCCTAAGAACACCACTTGCCTGTTGGGGTCAGGCAATAGGCCAGCGGGCAGGGCTCTTGCCTGGCACACGGCTGACTGGATCTGATCCCTGGCATCCCATATGGTCCCTTGAGTTCTTTAGGAGTGATTTCTGAGTGCAGAGTTAGCAGTAACCCTTGAGCACTACTGTGTGTGGCTCCCAAACCAAAAATAAATGAAAAAATAAAAATGAGGGAGGTCCCATGGCAGCCTTTCCTGCCCCTGACAGGCGGCCCCAGTTGGTATGGTATAATGGGCCAGAGCCCAGCATGTGGGACCAGAATGATAGCATGGCGAGTAGGGCATTTGCCTTGCATCTGGTCAACCTGGGTTCAATCCCTGGCATCCCATATGGTCCCCTGAGCCCCACCAGGAGTAATTCCTGAGTGCAGATCCAGGAGTAACCCCTGAGTATCGCAGGGTGTGACCCAGAAAGAAAAGGAAAAAAAGAGCCCAGCACGGTGGCCTGGCCCCTCTGAAAGATGGACCTGCAGCTTTCGTTTTGGGGCCGCACCTAGCTGTGCTCAGAGCTTACTCCTGGCTCCACACTCAGGGTCTATTCCTGGTGGGCTTGAGGTTTTGGGGATCAAACCCAGGTGGTCACATGCAAGGCAAACACCTTCCCCGCTGTCCTATTGCTCAGGCCAGAGTCAGAGGTGCGGCATTTAGGATGTTTAGGTTCCTGTGATCTGTCTTTTATGTGAACTACCTGTGATCACCACAGGGGGCGCCATCCCTCCCACCATTCACTAATACAACTTAATAGATGCTTAGAAACCCCAGCAACACTAGGCAATGCAAAGACCTCTCTGTCTCTATCTCTGTCTCTGTCTCTTTCTCTGTCTCTCTGTCTCTCTGTGTCTGTCTCTCTATCTCTCTCTGTCTCTCTCTCTGAGGGGGAACACCCCAGCAGAGCCCAGGATTCACTCCTGGCAGGACTCAGGGGACGATATGTGGTGCTAGACGGATACTACCCAGGTCAGCCTCATGCTAGGCAAGTGGACCCACTGTACTATCTCTCCTGCCCCCCTTTTTTGTGTGTGGTTCTGGCGATCAAATGAAGATGTTCTGGGTTCACAACAGAGCAACCTGAGACAGCCTGTGAGCCTGCAGACAGACCCTCCTCCCAGGCCTTACCTTCCCGTCATGCTCAGTGGGCAGCGCTCGGTCAAGGAGCTCCCGCTCCTCCTGGATCCGTCTGTAGGTCTCCCCGCTGTGCATCAGCAGCTCACCGACCGGCTTCTTCAGACGCTCTAGAGAGCCGCCCTCCGCCAAATCAGGTCCCGAAGGGACCCAGCCCCTCACCCTGCCAGCCTCACTCGCTGGGCTAATTCTGGCTCCCAGAGGACCTCAGAGTCAGCAGCATTTGGAAGGAAGCTACAGCAAGGAGGGCCCACCCGGACCCCAGCTCTGGAGGGGTGTGGGAAGGGGAGAGACCCCCGTGAATCTTGCAGCCCCTGTGGTCAAGCGGGAGGGAGCCCCGGGGCCCTCTGCTCACCGCTGAGCGCCTCCTGCTGCTTCTTCCGCAGGGCGAGGTTGCGCTGCCAGTTTTTCAGAAAGTTGTGTTGCAGAGGCAGGTGCGCCTTTTCTTCTTTGGGGGACCTGTCCTTCAGCTCGTCTTTAGTGGACGAGAGGTTCAACTCGCAGGGCGGGATGTGGATGAGCTCTGCCAGCTGCAGGGAGCAGTGTGTGGAGAGCGGGGCTGAGTGGCGACCACCCAGGACAACAAAGGAGCAGAAACCATGGGGGGAAAGGGTGACTGGCAGGGCGCTGTCGGCCCCTCTCCCTGGAGTGGGACGGCAGCTGGAAGATGCAAGGCAATCAGCGCATCCACGCTATTCACAGCTGATGCCAAAGGACACCTCGGCCGGCAGGGTGGCTGAGCCACCTCCACGCAGCCCCTGCCCCTCGGAGTCCTTTATGGAACCTGGAACCTGGAGAACTGAGGGCGAGGAGGCGCGGGCTGTTGGGAGGAGTCTGTGACCTCTTCGGCCGCATGAGCATCCCTGTTCTCTGGATGCCGCCAGGAACCCAGGGAATGGGAACTGTGCACAGAGCAACAGTAGGGAAGAGGAAGAAGGGTGAGCCCTGATGTCTGTGGGAGGTCAGTGTCATCAGATCCAGACACACTCTCACCTCTAAACTCCGCCAGGCACCCCCAAGTCCTTAGTGTATCTTTCTGACTTCAACTGAAGTTTGCTTAAGCTTCCCTCACTATTTTTCTTTCTTTTTTCTTTTTCTCAGGGGGTGGGGAGGGGAGATTTCTGCCAAGAATCCAGGGCCCACACTCGGGTTGGGAGTTTCATGCCAATAGTAGATTATAGACCGAACATGATGGCCATTCAATACTTGCATTGCAGGCCACAACACCCTAAAGGAGAGAGAGAGTAGAAGGGAATGCTCCTGCCAGAGAGACGGAGCGGGGGAGGGAGGAGGGATGGGGGGAGATGGAAGGGATACTGGGAACATTGGTGGTGGAGAACGGGTACTGGTGGTGGAGGGATGGGTACTCGATCATTGTATGACTGAAATGTAAGCACGAACATTTGTAAGTCTGTAACTGTACCTAATGGTGATTCGTTAAAAATAAAAAATTGAAAAAAAAAAAGAATCCAGGGCCCAGAGCCAGTATTGTCTCTGGTGCCCCTCCACTCCCCGTGTCCTGCCTGGAGAGGCATAAATGACTCCAGCCAGCTCCCCTTTCACCCCCACAGCTCTGTACCAACAAACCTGAGTATTCCCTCGAGCAAGTGCAATTCTTTTGAAGTCCGAGAGACACCCCAAGATGTGGTGGGGCAGGATTTGCTCACTGCCTTGGAAGCTGTTGGCAGGACCTGGAGAAAACGGGGATACCAGATGCGGCTGACGGACGGCCAGGTGTAGGCTGGCTATGTTTCTCGGCTGACCCTGGAGTTCAGAGACCCACCCGGCCAGGGCTGAGGCTGGCCATACCAGAGTAGTCGAGAAGCTTGGCAGCTGCGTCAGGCGTGGCCGGGTGTGCTACCAAGTGACAGACCTCCCTCCTGACATCCCTGGGCCTGTGCTTCCGGATGAGAAGATGCTGGGTGATGACGGCTTTTCCTTCTTGTTCCTTAAGTCGAGGAACGTGTTGCTAAAAAAGAAGCAGAGGAGAATTCCACAAGAGATCAGGAGGGAAAAACACCACCCGGTTCCTCCATCCTCATTCTGGGTGGAATTCCTGAAGGCTGACAAATCTGTTTCTCTCGCTCTGTCCATATGCTATCAGGAAAATGCGGGTGGGACAGAAGGCACAAAGATTTGGTTCTGGAGGAAAAAAAAAACAACATCTCAGGTGCCCTGGTCAGTTCATTTGGCCTCCGTTTCCACAAAGTGAGGGGTCAGAGCCGAGCAGCCACTACCCTTTCTATAACTGGACTTCTCAAATTCATGCCCCTTCTGTGAAAGGCGGACACAGGGTACTGCCTTTGTGGGAACAAAACCACTCATCTCATTTCCCTGTGGTTCTAGACACGGCTAAGGAGTACACAATAAGCCCAGCGAGGTCCTGGGGAGGCAGAAGTGAAAGGAATTTGTGTGCAGTGGATTTTTCCACGGGCCCAGATCCTCCCTCCAAGTAGGGAGGTGGCGGAGGGGGGGTTGGGGGCGGACGTGGCTGAAGCTCTCAGCCTCACATGGGAGGGTCTTTCTGCCTGTGGCCTCCTTACCTTCTTCAAGTCTTCCTTCTTGATGGCTAAGGCAAGAATGTCATCTCCCTGGAGGATGTTGCTGACAGGCTCAGGTTCTTCCTGGATGGGCGGCGTGGGCTGTTCGGGTACCTTTGCCCGTTTCTTATCTGAAAAGCAGCAGAGAATCACTCAGTGGGGAGCCGCAGAGCTGGGCGAGCAGTAGATGACACACATTCTCCCTGGAAAGTCCCCTTCCCCGCTCCTGGCCCACCTCAGTGACCAAAGTGTCTACAGCCACCACTGAGATCAGACGCATCATTCCAGTGACTACTTAGAAGTCAGATAACCCTTGTTTTAAAAAAAATTTTGGGTCATACCTGGCAATGCTCAGAGCTTACGCCTGGCTCTGCACTCAAGAATTACTCCTGGCGGTACTTGGGGGACCATCTGGGATGCTGGGAATTGAACCTGGGTCGGCTGCATGCAAGACAAATGCCCTGCCTGCTGTACTATCACTCCGCTGCCCCTAGAAATCAAACAACCCTGAGTACATCACTTAGTCTCTCTCTCTCTCTCTCTCTCTCTCTCTCTCTCTCTCTCTCTGTTTTGCTTTTTGGGTCACACACTGAGATGCTCAGGGGTTACTCTTGGCTCTGCACTCAAGAATTACTCCTGGTGGTACTCAGAGGACCATATGGGATGCACTACCTGGTCCCTTAAGCATCTCGGGGTGTGGCCCTAGGGGTCCCCTAGCCCTTCTGGGGTTGTCTGAGTATCTCTGAATCACAAGATCTGAGGAGTACCACTTCTCTGGTCCTTACATCAAACCACCTCCTGGTTGACCAAGAGTCACCAGTGCCCCTTCCCTCATTAAAACCTCAACTCTTCAAGGGAGTTTCTTGTGTGTGTGTTTGTGGGGGCAGTGTTTAGGCCACACTGGAAATTCTGAGGGATTATGGGATTACTCCTGACTCTGTATGCAGGAATCACTGCTCATGGTGTTCTGGGGACCATATGGGATGATGGGGATTGACCCTGAGTCAGCAGTCAGCTTCATTTAAGGCGAGCTCCCACTCCCTGCTGTACTATCTCTTCAGCACCAGTCAGTCTTCAGGGAAGTTTTACAAGCTAAGGCTTCTGGCTCCACGTGGGGTCAGGGTCCAGGGCTGGATTTTGATCTTTATGTGATTCTGAGGCACAGTGAGTTCGGTCACTAGAACCATCTCAGTCTCAGTGGCTGGCACTGATCCATTCTGGATTAAGGCATCAGGTTTGTTTGTCAGGGAGTGTGAGGAGGTTGTTTAGGCTACATCTGGTGGTGCTCAGGGGCTACTACCAGCTCTGTGCTCCAACGTTGCTCCTGGTGGTGCTCGGGGGACCAGGTGGTACAAAGGATAGAACGCGGGCCTCCAGCATGAAAAGCATACACCCAGCCCATGGAACCCATTCTCCAGCCCCAGTGTCTTAGGGTGATTAAGGACCAGAGAGATCGCCCAAAGGACCAGAGGCATGCCTTGAATGGCCCCCCAAGTCCCACTGGGTATAGCCCTGAAGATCCCTAAGCATCACTAGGTGTGATCTGGAGGGCCCCAGCACCACGGGGCCTGACCATTGAATTGTCCAGTCACACAACCGGCCTACATGTTGCCCCGAGTGGCTCTGGGTCCCATTTCCTCTAAAAAACTCTGGTTAAAATGCAGATACTGTGACAACCATTTATTTCACTACTACTGTTTTAGGGGAGGAAAAAAAGGTACTGTTTAAGAGGCCAGAGAGGAAGTACAGCAGGTAAAGTGCTTGCCTGGCCCACAGCTGACCCTAGTTTGATCACCAATACCATATGCAGTCCGTGAGCACTGCTGGGTGTGGCTCCAAAACAAAAAAATAAAAACTGTTAAAACATCTTTGTGCCTAGCCTGGTGCCAGGCCTTGGGGATATAAGCAGTAACCAGGAGAGACAAGACTCCGACAGGGGCCAGAGCAATAGTACAGTTTGCCTTGGACATGGCCAGCCTGGGTTTGATCCCTGGCACCCCATACAGTCCTCGAAGCTCCACCAGGAGTAATTCCAGAGAGCAGAACCAGGTGTAACCCTTGAGCGTTTCCAGGTATAACCCAAAAAGTAAAAAAAAAAAAGACTCTCAAACAGGGTTGGGGAGGGACTGGAGCAATAGCACAGTGGGTAGGGCGTTTGCCTTGCACGCAACCAACCTGGGTTTGATTCCTAGCATCCCATATGGTCTCCCGAGCACCGCCAGGAGTAATTCCTGAGTGCAGAACCAGGAGTAACTCCTGTGCATTGCTGGGGTGTGACGCAAAAAGCAAAAAAAAAAAAGTTGGGAAAACAGCCCAATAGGCAGAGCATGTGCTTTGCTTATTTGCCTTTTTTCTTTTCATTTTGTTTGGGGGCCATACCTGGTGGTGCCCTGGGCTCTGGGCTCTGTGCTCAGGGATCACTCCTGGTGGTACTTAGGGGATCATATGTGATATTAGAGACCAAACCAGGGTCAGGTGTGTACAAGGCAAATGTCCTACCCACTGTACTACCGCTCTGGCCTGAGGGCACGCTTTGCATGCAGGAGGCCTGAGTTCAATCCCTGGCACTGCACTGTCCCCCAAGCACCGCCAGAAGCAACACCAAGAGTCAAGAGTAACCCTTTAGCATCTCCTGGTATGTTGACTTTGAGGAGGTGGGGGGGAGCAGATAGTGTCAGAGAGGACAAGGGTTTCTATGAAAGCTACCAGGGCAGTATGTGAGGGGACAGGGAGGGCTTCCAAAGTATTGGTTTAAAGTGAGAGCTGAAGGTGAAGTGAAAGTGGACAGGGGAACGGGCACTCCTAGGGGCAGAACATGAAGATGCCTGGAGAAAGGCGAGAAGGTTCGTCCCGAAACAAAATAGCATAGGTTTCAAATAAGCAAAGCACATATGGTTTTGTTTTTAATGGGGGGTTGGGGTGGTTGGGGCTGTAACTGTCAAATGCTTAGGGGATTCTCCTGCCTCTATGCTCTGGGGGTACTCCTAGCAGCTTCGGGTACCAGGTAAACCATGTGCTCTGCTCCACTGAGCAGCCCAAAGCAGGTGTTTTGAAGGAGCCAGACAGCAGTAAGGTGGCGAGGAGGATAGTGTGACTTGGGAAGGTCCTGGGTTTCATACGCTGAGCAGAGGCATCGCAAGGAAAGGACCAGAGCTGCACAGATGGGGACAGGATGGGGCAGGGAGCGACTATCAGTGACCAAGCAGCTGACGTCAGGGGCTCATAGGACCTTGCAAAAGAGTGGGGTGTGCAGAAGCTGTTTCTGACTAGGGGTGCCAACCCCACTGTAGAAGGCAGGCAGCAGGAGGGTGAGTCCCAGAGGTCACATCCACCCTGCCTGCCCGTGAGGTGGAAACTGAACCCCATGTCCTCTGTTTCCCATGGCCCTCGTTTTGATCAGGCAGCATCACTGAAACAGCACCGGCCCCTGTTTTGATGACCCAAATCAAACCATTTTCCAGGGAATGCTCACAGAGCCGGTGGCAAGAAAATCCACACCAGGGTCATTGTCATTCTAAACATAACAAGATTGAACCTCTTGGCCAAGTGGTGAACAGAAATTCAAGAGTATGTTAATTAAGGCACCAGATTCTGTGAACACACATGGGGTACACACATACACATACAGACCCGAGTCCCCGCCGGATGGGTCCCAGCTACTGCCATGCCATGATCAGCAGCTCTAGGTTGGGTTTACATTTATTTATTTTTGTATTTTTGGCTGGGTTTTTTTTTTTTACTATTTGGGTCACACCCACAGTGCTCTGGGGTTACTCCTGGCTCTGCACTCCGGAGTTACTCTTGGCAGTACTCGAGGGACCTTAGAGGAAGCCAGAGATTGAACCCTGGTCAGCCACATGCAAGGCAAACGCCCTACCCACTGGACTATGGCTCCGGCCCCAGCAGCCCTAGATTTGCATTTCTACTATTTTCCCTTTTACTGGCACCAAAGTTGGTGGCAGCCCAAGAGAGAATCAGTCCCAGTTGAAGGTCAGCTTTTATAAATATTTTGGTATTATTTCTATTTTCCAAGCCATTCACTTCCTCTGTCCATCATTTTGGCTGGTTCTACATTTCCCAGGGCGTAAACACCTCCCCATGTCGGCTTTTTTCCTGGCGAGGGTACAGTTAACGGATAATCCTTCAGCATGGCCCCAGGGCTCTGAAACAGTGGAACTCTGTACTGAACTTTCTCTGAGTTTACATTTTGTTTTGTCTGGGGCAAACCCAGCAGTGCTCAGGGCTTCCTCCTGGCTCTGTGCTGGATAATCCTGGTGAACTCAGAGGACCATGTAGGGTGCTAGGGATTGAACCAGGGTCGACTGCGTATAAGGCAAGTGCCTATTATAGTATACAATTACTCTGGCCTACATTTTCTTTCTGGTGGGGACTGCACCCAGCACTGCTCAACCTAGTGATGGTTTGATGCTCAGGAGCCACTAGGGTCACACTCAGTGATGCTAGGGCCACACAGCGCCTGGGATCAAACTCAGGCTCACACACACTGAGTATGTGCTCTACCACTCAGTCACCTCCTTGGTCCCCAACTGTACATTGTGTGTGTGTGGTGCCAGGGGTCAAAGCAAGGGGGTGGGTGGGGCCTCATAAGTGCAAGGCAGGAAGACTACTAGTGAGTCATGTCTCTCTGCTGGTTCCTTTTCATTGGGGTGAGGGTCACACCTGATGATGCTCAGGGATTACTCCTGGCTCTGTGCTCAGGAATCATCCCTGACGGTGCTTGTGGGACCAGATGAGGTGCTGGGGATTGGACTCAGGTCGGCCAGGTGCAAGATAAGTGCTGTACTGCTGGACTATCACTCCGGCCCCCAAGCCCCTCTGCACAGTTGAAACTCCAGAGAAAACAGACCAAGCATTTTCTATGTGCTATAAACCAGAGACGAAGGATAAAAGGTACAGTTCGGAACTGGAGAGATATACAGTGGGTAAGGTGCTTACCTTGCATGCTGCCAACCCGGGTTAGACCCCCAGCATCCCATATGGTCCCCCAAGTACCACCAGGAGTGATTCCTAAGGACAGAGTCAGGAATAAGCCCTGAGCATGATCGGATGTGGCCCCCAAACTAACTAAATAAAGGGTACAGATCAGGCTCCTTTCCCTAAGGAAGCTGCAGACACTAATCCCCACCCTCCCAATTTAAGGGCCTAGAACGGTGGCACAGGCAACAGATTTGCTTACATGGCAGAGGAGGGATGGAGGGCGAACTGTCAGACAATGCAGGGTTCTAAATAAATACTCTGCAAGCCTCATAGGCAGCATAGAGGGGTTCCTGGAGCAAAGGTGGAGGCAGGGCTGAACGGGTGTGCGTGAGCATTGAGCGTAGGGAGGTGAACAGGACATGAGGTGGGTGTCGAGGGGTGAGGGACAATTGGGGGCAGGATCCAGGGCTTTGTCAAGTGGGGCAGAGGCAGTTCATCCCCCCGGAGGCAGCAGGCAGCAGGAGATGAAAGCACCTCCCTGGGATTCAGTGCCTGTGGGAGAGCCAGGCTGGCTGGAGCAGTTGGGGAGACCAGGAAGGACATCCTGGGGCAGGTGAAGCCGGGGTCACTGCAGCAAGGATTCCGTATGATGGAGTCATGGCTCACGACTGAGCATGTAGAAGCCCCCCTCTTCCTTGTTGCAGGGTGTGGAAACCCATGCGCAGAGGGGGTCGTGTTCATCCCACAGCTGACCGGCTCTCCTCCCTGGAGCCAGGGGATGGAGGACGAAGGCGGGAGGGGAGAAGCCTGGACTGGGTTTTCCTCTGACTTAAATGCCACTTTACATGTTGATTTAAGCCTTGGGGGAATTCTGACCCCAGGGTGGTCCTAGGGGAACCGGGTAGGGCTATAGCTAGCAGGGCAGAGTCTTCATAGCTGGGGGAGGGGTTTCTGTTAAGCCGCTTCCTGGCTTCCTGGTTTCTTAGCAACAGGAAAAGGGAGAAAGCTGCCTGTTCAGGGTTCAGGTTCCTAACCAGATTTACAGTCACAATATTTAGGCCTCTTTTCTTTCCTTTTCTTCTCTTTGTTGTTTATAATGCAGAGACCTTGGAGAAACGCAACACAAGATAGAAGACTGCATTTGTGGGGCCAGAGCGATAGTCCAGGTAGGGTGTTTGCTTAGCACATTGCCTACCCAGGTTTCCCAGCAACCCAGATGGTGTCCCCCTCTTTCCCCCCACCTGCCCCCACCCCCAGCCTGCCAGGAGTAAGCCCTGAGCACCATGCAGCGTGACCCAAAAACCAACCCAAAAAAAGACTGCATTTTGTTGGTTTGCTGCATTATTTGGAGGGAGGGGGGGGAAAGTCAGAGACTTCCCCACGGATATTGGGGGCTGGGGAAGGCATCTTGCATGCTGAGCACTTTGGGGGGAGGGAGTTTTCCCCTCTCACCTTGATTCATGTTCTTAATTCAAGAGCTACTTAACAAACAAAATTTCCCCTTATTCAACCTAAGTATGCAGTGGAAAATCTTTCCTTGATTTGTTGACAGCAGAAAGTTTGAGTCTGATAAGATCTCTAGAAAGCAGCAGGAGGCAGAAGCTGGAGCGTCCTCTGCAGCCCTCTGGAAAGAGGATGGCTATACTGGCTAGTCTCTCTTTCTTCTGCCACCCAGGACTGGGGCCTCCCTGAGTGGTGCCCAGGGCTTACGCCGGGGCTCTGAATTCAGGGATCACTCCTGGGCAGTGCTGGGGGGACCATATTCCCTGCAGGGGATGGAAATGGGTCAACCACCTGAACCTACACCATCTCTCCACCCAGAATTTAGGTGTCATCTCTCTCCTCTCTCCTCTCTCTCCTCTCTCCTCTCTCTCTCTCTCTCTCCTTTCTGTCTGTCTCTGTCTCTCCCTCCCTCCTCCCTCTCTCTTTCTCTCCCCCGCATCCTCTCCCTCCTCCCCACATCCATGGAGCTCAGCGTTTACTCCTGCAGGGATCACTCCTGCTGGTGTTGGAGGACCATATGGGGTGCCGGGGATAGAACCTGGGTCCACGTGTGTAAATTCCTAGTCACAGTACTCTCTCTCGAGATTCCTAATATGGGTTTTTTTTTTTTTGCTTTTTGGGTCACACCCAGTGCTGCTCAGGGGTTACTCCTGGGTCTGCATTCAGGAATTACTCCTGGCAGTGCTAGGGGGACCATATGGATGCTGGGAATTGAACCTGGGTGGACCACATGCAAGGCAAATGCCCTACTCGCTGTGCTATTACTCCAGCCCCCTAATATGGGTTTCTTGAGGACTGTCCAGTTAGTGCTGAACCCTCAGCTGCCCTCCCAGAGTGGCTGCCATAAGTGGAAACTAAGAAAGGAGCACTCCACCCCTGTAGCCAGAGGGGAGGGGACTCAGCCTGGTCTGCTGTGTGCAGGTCGCCTTGCTTGGCTGACCTTCTGGACAGGAGCGCCAGGCAGGATGGAACAGGTGGGAAGGGGCAGCAGAAGCAGAAATAGCTGAGCTGGACCTTTCTTCTTGCACATTTTCCAGGGCTCTTAGGATCCCAGCAAAGAACCCACAGAAGTCTGACCCACTCAGCTCACTGCTCTCTCCTCGCTCTCTTCCCTGTGCCGGACCCTCACCAACCCAAGTTACTGGGCACATCCCCCAAGTTTCCACTCAATGTCATTCCCCCCACGCATGATTCCCGAGAGGGAGGGGCTTGGGCAGACCCCCCACTTCGAAGGTCCTCGTATTCAAGGTCTGGGTGTCCTGTGCCTCTCCCGAGGGTCCCGCGTCAATACCCCCCACCAGACTCCGTGCTCTGTGGCGTGCCTGGCGCGGGGGCTTTCATGGCCTGCAAGGGTGCCTTTTTCCTTATCCCATACTCCACCGGCTTCACCTCCATCCTGGCGTCTCCCACCCCCCCCCCACCCCACACCTTGGGGCGCGGCTTCCAACCCACAGCCCAGCCCCTGGCTGGCACCCGGCGCCGCTGCCAACGCCAAACCTTTAGCATTTTCTAAGAGCTCAGGCAATTTGCTAGACGTGGGGATCCTGAGGCGCGACTCCTTCTTCAGAGACTTCATGGTGCCGCGGACTGTGATCGTGGCCTTGCTCCCCAGGCCCTGACACGTCACTAGGCCGGCGCCGCACCCTGCAATCTCTCACCCCAGGACCCCCTCCTCCTCGCCACGCGCGCCTGCCAGCGGCCACCGCGGCGTCCTTAGCAACCGGCGCCCGCGGCGCGCGGGGCTGGCCAGCTGCCTCCTCCGACGTCACCTTTCTCAGCCCCGCTGTCCCGCCCGAGGGTAGCCCCTGGAACCGGGTCGTGACGTCACGGGCGGGGCGGGGACCGGGTAGGTGGAGGTGGCCTCGGAAAAGGGCAGGAGGGGGCCTAGGTAGGGGAAGTGGGACTGGGGTGGGGAGGAGGAATGGTCCAGGTTGGGAGTTTGGGAGGCCTCTGGAAAAGGGGTCCTAAGAGGCGTTGTGGGGGGCAGTGAGAGGAAGGGGCCCTAGGGGACAGAGGGGGAGTCCTGGGGGAAAGAGTCTAGGGGAGAGAAGGGGTCTGGGCTGGAGGTGACTCCCCCTTCCCTCTGTCCTTCCACTCAGTACAAACCATCTCTGTCTCTTTCCACAACGGAAGCCTGGCCCCTGGACCTGCTGGAAAGCCCAGAAGCGCCCACCCTTATTCCTCCCCACCCCCTCCCCCGCCTGTGCCTCTTCTGCCTGTGAGCTGACATGCCAGGGACACCCTCCCGCCATTTGCCAAAACCCCTGTGGCCTTATGTCACTTGGGACACGCCAGGCTGCCCCCCCTCACTCTGGAGGCTTTGCTTTTCCAGGTTGGCCAGGTGGTTTAACAAGGGCTCAAGTGTGTGATCTCAGGGTGGTGCATCACACACACACACACACACACACACACACACACACACACACACACGTGTCATTGCATTTTGGAGTTATTTTGACCTGTAATCAATCTTCCTGTAAGAATGTGAACTCCAGGGGCTGGAGCGATAGCACAGCGGGTAGGGCGTTTGCCTTGCACGCAGCCAACATGGCCAACACAGGTTCGATTCCCAGCATCCCACATGGTCCCCTGAGCACCACCAGGAGCAATTCCTGAGTGCACGAGCCAGGAGTAACCCCTGAGCATCACCGGGTGTGACCCAAAATGCAAAAAAAAAAAAAAGAATGTGAACTCCAGGGGCTGGAGCGATAAGCACAGTGGGTAGGGTGTTTGCCTTGCACGTGGCCGGCCACGGGTTCGATTCCCAACATCCCATATAGTTCCCCCGAACACCGCCAGGAGTAATTGAGTACATGAGCCAGGAGTAACCCCTGTGCATTGCTGGGTGTGACCCAAAAAGAAAAAAATATATAAACTTCAGGAGCCGGAGAATAGGACAGGAGGTGCTGTGTTGGCTTTGTTGGCTGTGGTGAGACGCTGGTTTGAATGCCCCACCTCTGCCCCCACCACATATGGTCCTCTGAACACTTAGCAAGCAGGGCTGAGGGTGGCCCAACCCTCCCTCACCACCACCAGATATAAACTCCATCAAGGCAGAGAAATTTGTCCCTTGTCCCCACCCAAACCCAACGTCTCACACACTGTAGTCGCTTGGACTTTAGAGATGCAGAACCTAGTTCCAATCCCAGCTTGGTCTGCTGCTCTCTGTGTGTGCCTAGGCCCAGACCCTGAGCACCGCCCCCCCAACCACCCCACCCCACTACCTTGGAGACACAGTGTCTCTCACAAAAGAGGCCTCGACATCTCCCACAAGGCTCCCCGAAAGGACATCACCACCGTAACAGGAGTGTAGATGCCACCCACTCTCCAAATGGTGGGGCTGAGAGAGCCAATGTGCCCTGAGTCCATTTTACAGATGGGAAAATTGAGATCCCTGAGGTAAAGATCCAGACCAGAGCTCGTTGGATTTGGGCCATTTTTTCTGAGTTTTGCTACAGTTGGCAAGAGCAAGGGAGGCTACCAATCGGGACCAACCATTCTGGGCTCCCTCTGTTGCCCTCAAGGGCTCTTCCTAGGGGTATGACCCCTACTTCCCACCCTCTAAACTGGTGCAGCCCTCCTGATGGGGCTTCCTCCCTGGGAATTCCCCTCTCTCCCACATTCTGAGGCCCCTTGCCCCCTCCAGGAAGCCCCCAGTTTGCTTCATTCCATAAACAGTTACTGAGCACTGCAGATGCATGGCCTGGAGGTGAGCCATTGAGGTGCTTGATGAAAGCAGCCCCCGAGCCAGAGGAGCACTGGGGGCTGACTGCAGGGAGGGGAGAACAGTGGGAAGCCAGTGGGAGGGGAAGGGGGATGAAGTCCGCCCTGGGCTCCAATGGGGTTGCAGCCTCAACAAGCTTGGGGTCCAGAACATTTCATGGATTCTGTCACTCTCTGCTCTCCTGGCAGACGAAGGGGCAGATTCTCCGTGGCTGATCACTCTCATCTCCATCGGAGGAGCTAGCCCTGGGAGAGAGGGAAGGAGTATCAGAAATAACAGAAATATCTTATCCTCTAGGAGTTTGAATCCACTACATAGCAAAAGAGAAATGCCCAAATGCTAACCCACTCTCCCGCTTGCGGAAGGCCTTTAACTCTGGTGGGTTATAAGGCATGCAGGTTGCTTGGCTGAAAGCAGGACAGAGAGCTGGGGGAATCCTTTGGGTTTCAGGGTTCAGCAAAGATTGAAGGACAAAAGGAAGGGATGAGGCCATGGTCGGGCAGGTACTGTCCCTAGTTGACCCTGGAGAAGTCTCGTCCTCTTTCTGTGCCTTGGCACAGCCATCTGCTTCCTGCGGGCTGGAGACTCCATCAGTGCTTCTTCACCTTTCGAGAATCTGATTTCTTTTGTTCTGTGTTTGGGCCACACCCAGAGGTGCTCAGGGCTTACTTCTGTCCCTGTGCTCAGGAATTACTCCCGGGAAAGCTCGGGGACCATATGGGGTGCCAGGGATCAAACCTGGCTTGGCCCTGTGTAAGGCAAGCGCCCAACCCACTGTACTCTTTCTCGCCCCAACCTTTTGAGAATCTGATTAAAGCTAGAAAACTTCTCCTCCAAAATGGGGCTGAAATTACCCCTGAGCACAACCGGGTGTACCCCACAAGAAGAGTGATTGTGTATGTGTGTGGGGGTTAATGAAATATACACAATAACTTTTCCATTTGAACAAATACAGTTCAGTGGCATTTAGCACTCTGAGAAATGTATTCATTGTGCATTGCTGCGACCCAGTTCCAGAGATGTTTGCATTCTTCCCAAGTAAACCAACAAGCAGGAACTCCCCATTGCTCCCCTCCCGGCCCCTGAAAGCTCATCTACTTCCCTTGACTGCTTGGCCCATTTCCTATGAACAGAACCAGGTCACATCTGACCGCCTGCAGCTGCCTTCTTTTATTTAGCAAATGTGTTTTCGGGGTTCTCTGTGTGGAATCCTGTATCAGTCCTGCAGTCCTTTTTGGTGACTGAATAATATTCCACCCTCCATGTAGTTCAATCATCTGGCCCTGGGCTGGGTTGGGCGGGTTGAAGTCAACATGCCTTAGATATCTCTGAAAGCAGATGCCCAATCTGTCATCTCTGGGTGCAGATGTTGTGAGTACTACCATTTGGGAACTTGGACAGAAAAAAAACATGAAGGAAGGCTCCTTAAGGGAGGAGCACTCGAGATCAGCATTCCTTTGCTGGGCAGGCGAAGGCCCTCCCCACAAGCACTCCCCAGGGAAAGTGCAGGGACAGCAGCCTTCAGCCTCCCCAGCACTCACAGTGGCCTCCTCTGCCCCCCAGCTGCCTCAGCCGGCTCCACTCTGGAGAAGGAGGTGGCTGGGCTGACCAAGGGCGTGACATCAATTACCGCTTTGCGTCTCTGTTTATTTCCACCCAGCCAGGTGCCGGCCCTGTTGTCAGCCTCTCTCTGCAGAAGCCAAACTGTCTCCCAAAATAGAAAGTGTGTTTCCGCCGCAGGCTGCTGTTGCTTCCCAGACACAGCCTGGCCCCCCTGAAGCTTACGTCTGGGGAAGGTGTCCGCAAGCCCCTGCCATCTCCCACCTCTCCATCCCCCATGCCTCCTCCTCCCTGTTTGCCTCATCTGTGCCTCACCTCCGCACACACCCCTGCCTCCGTCATCCCCTGGAATCGGACCACACTCCCCTTCTGTACCACAGCCCACCATGGCCCTCCTGTGCACGCTAACCCATAGCAGGGATCTTTCGTTCTGCTTGGCCCTTGAGTGAAGGCTGGTCACAGCAGCACCCTGTTCCCCTGAGACAGAGCTGGAGCCTCAAGGAGGATGTATGGATTCTGGGAGCCACCCCCGACCTCAGACTCCCGAGTCCCTTCCAGAGGAGGACCCCAGAGATTTCTCTGAGGCCACCCTGTAAGGCGGAATGAGGAGCAAGAGGACCCCAACGTGAAACATGGCTTGGCATCTCCCAGTTGCTCCGTGGGGCTGGAGATTCTTCTCTTTGGCTTCCGGGCCTAGTCCGCACAGAAGAGCAAGGCCCGGGAGCAGGCCTGGCTGTCTCGGAGCTCTCAGGAGGGTGTGTGATGGAGGGCAAGGGCAGGGGGCAGGAAGTGTGGGGAAGCCTCCAGGGCCCCCTGCCCCTGCTGTGTGGTTCCACAGGTGGGAGAGAGCTGGTGCTCTTGTGCATGGGCTCTTAGCATGGGGGGAGGGGAGAAGGGGTGACGCTCCTAGGAGTCCCTCGAGGGCAGGAGTTCTAGGGTGGGCTTTAAAAGAACACCATGGACTGCTGTGACGCATGGGTGATGGAGCTTTCTGGGGTATGAACAGATAGTGTGTCCTAAGGTGTGGACAGGCAGCATGTTCTGGCATATGGACAGAGTATTCTGGGCCGTGGATGGACAGCATAATCTGGAGGTCTGGGACTAGGCTTTCCACTGAAAGGAAGGTTCTGGACCCTTCCTAACTTTCCCTCCCTTCCTCCCTGTCCAAGGGGGCCAGCCCATCTTGGGGGCAGCGTCTCTTAGAATGGGAGTTTTGCCCAAAGAACTTCCTGACACTAACAGTGAGAATGATGTCAGGAGGTGCGGAGCTGGGACTGGGGGCAGGTGGGACG